AATCACGGCTCACCGGGCGCAGGCGCGCGCGACATGTGATAGAAATGGAGCTTTCTCAGACGCCGGATGTTCGTGGTAGAATGGGTAAATGCTGCGGTGTCGATTGAGCTGATTGGTTTTGGTGGAAAGAGGAAGTTGGAAGGTAGGTAGGTATTCATGTGAAATTGCAGTGGGCTTACATGCATAAATTGATCCCGAAATGCATATCGGCGTTTGGCAAGCAGCTTATAGTATTCTTATCTTGTTTCATCTTTACTTATATGCTTTCGAATTATAAAAGAAATAACCCAAGGCAAAGAAGCCAGATAATGCACTAGAATGCAGTTTTTCTGTGAAATGTGAAGGTGCACGAATTCAATCAGGAAAAATATAGTATTCCCTGTGAAATTAATTATGCTACGTTAGATGATTGAATAGACAAAATGGTGCGAGGACAGAAATATGACGTGCGTCACGCTCAAAGCAGTGCCATTAAACGGAAGTACCAGCTGTTCTCGATTAGCATACCTACAGAGGTCCTGCCTTCCATTCAATCAACCCCAGGCATTCTTGGCGCTCATTAGCTAATTTCTAAAGAAGTAATGGGTCTGTCAAAGCACATGTGCGAGTGCCGGGCGTCACATCACTCAGCCGGTCATCTGAGTACCGTTTTGCGTCGGGTGAAAGTGCCGTTTGCAGGCCTCGGGCGGCCATGAGCAATGAGGCGTTGACGGCCAATCCGCCCAGGTGATTGGTGGTGGTGCAGTTGTTATTCATCTCACGATTAATGCACTACCAGTGTCCATTCATTACTCTCGTCATGCAACGCACAGATGTGCGGGAACCCGAGCTATACGCTCAGACATGCAGTGCTAAAGACGTGCGTGAAGGGTGCGCGCATATATCTAATGCACCGCGTGCTCTCATACCTTCCGCACGTGCATGGCTCGTCCGTGTGTGCCGGAAGGCGGCCTGTTCCGCGTCGGCCGTGGCTGAACGCGCCGCGACCGCTGCTCATTACTCGGGTATTCCGGCCGACGGCAGGGCGGCGCTGTCCGATCGTCAACAAAACATTTCGAGCCGCTTCACTAAATGGTCGGCATCCGGGCGGGAGAGGCGGCATCTCGGCACTTCGAGTGCCGAGGGCGCCGCACCGTCCGCCGGTCACAAAAACGAACCGCTGGCCAGGGACGACCCGCTGCAGTTTCTGGAGCACGGCAGTGGTCAACGCCCATGCGGGTGCACTGGCAACAAATAGGAGGGGCCAGCAGTTGTTTGGGTGGGGTAAGTAAGTCATCAATTGATAGAGCATTGCTAAAACGACGTGGGTTGATGAATTCAACAATAAGCGGGCTGGCGGGAACAGTTGGTTAAAATTAGGAAAAAAACTCATCCGTTATTTATATCAAAGCTAGAATGTTCTAAAACGCTTATATGATTGAGACACTTATTATTTATGAAACAACTGTTCTCCTGGATATCTGGCATAATCATTTGCTCTCTCAGCTTTCGGCCCTTTGCCCTCCCCTTCCGGTAACGGACTCGGCTGCGCAGTGGTCTGTCACCCTCCCCGTGACGATTAGCAGGAGTGTTGTGATGGATTCCTGAGGTCTGTATGCTGATGTCATAGCTCCGTCAGAGATGTGATGGATCCTGAGAGCCGACAAGCTGCGAGCGTGACTCACACAGGTCTGATCTTTGTCTCTGAGGACATGAAGGAGCAAATTATATGGAAACAGTACAAGCGGAGAATGTAAAAATTGTGGCGGAGGATGCAAACCAGCGATCACTTAAGTTGGATGACTGGCAAGGATGAGGACGTGATTTCTGAAATTTTGCTTTTAGCTGATGCAGTTGCTCGCAAAGTGAATGAACTTTACCTTATCTTCACATTACCGAATTCATGGTTGTCTACTTCAGTTACTTCGTAAGCATGAACCCGTGCTAGAGCTTTTCACGTCACCAGTAGCACGGATTTAGCTCATTTTTATCTTGCACTGCTTTCAATATGTTCACTTCATTTTGTTTCCCACCCTCATCCGGTGGCCAGAAAACTCGTCGCACCTTGAAACGGAGCGGAAGACGTTTTATTCAGCGTCATTGTGAGGTCTAGACTCCTCGACACTCCCACCACGTCACACAACAAAGCAGATCAGACCCTCACAGATGTGGACCACCGGTGTTGTGGTAATGTGACCCCACTCAGACCCTCAGGAGCTAAAGACCAAGGCGGGATCGCGTTCCTATGAGGCGTTGATTGTCAAACTGCGGTTGTCATGACGAAGGTGAACCAGCTGTTGCATGAAATCGAATCTCAAACCGAGGAAAGTTTGGAGGCGACAGGACAGCTGCTGGGCAAAGCAAATGGCACCGCGCTCTCCCATACGTAAAGACTATGGTTGACTCCGTTGACTCATTTCAAAAAGGCTGATCCTTATAAAGCGCACTGGAGTAAGACGCGGAATTGAACTAAAATAGTTGAAAGGAAAACATTGGCAGCTGTTATGCTGATGTGATGCTGTGAGTGATTGATGCTGTATACAGCTTTTTTGTTGTAAATGGCGAATTTTATCAAGTTGAGCAATGCACATATTTAATGCTCAGAATAAAGTTGTTTTAATTTTAAGCATCGTCTAAAACTTTGAATGCATCGCAAGGAATAGAAAGCGTAAATGGGCGGCTGTATCATACCTAACCATTTTACCCGTAATTTTCTCCTTAGGGCGGCTGTTTAGCATATATATTGGCTAACAAGGAGTGAAGTTATCTGGTCCGACGTTTTGATGTATGCGCGTCATTATTTTCTGGCATCTGTGGCGCCTCATGTGACACCATTCCAGTGCCCCGTCCTACTGACACCGTAAGTGACAGGACACAGACACAGTGTACATACATTCAGGAACACCAACAAACGATGTCAGCCTGACAAAGAGAGGCGGCTCTTGTTGTATTTGTAGCTGTTTTCCACTTGTGAACTTGGACTACGCTATGCCGAACATTCGTGTCGCCTGCGATACGTATGCGATAAGTGCACATTTCCTAATTACCAAATTGCGTTCAGGGGTCTGGAACAAATAACGTTGAGCCGCACACGACTGCCTTTCACTCCTTATCTCCTGTGCCGCCCAGGGCTACCGGCCACCGGCAGTGATCGATGCGCCACAATTGCCTCAGCTGGTCGCCAGCGCGCCGCGATCGTATCCGCGGAAAGATCGCGGTCCAGACGGCGCCAGATAATTTGTCTTAAATGCACATGTGCGCACCGAACCGCTCTCTTTTGAGCCATGTGCTCGTTGGGCCACTTGACGAGTCACGTATCATGTTCAAAAGCTGCCACGAATGATGCGTACAAGGTTTTACTAGTCTGACGGATGTCTGCAATCGTATATGCGCTTAGCACAATGACACGCACTCCATAAAAAGAAGGGGAGAGATAAAAAACTGTAAGTCGATAAATTTTGACAAGTGCATACCTACTCAAAGGAGAAGTCTGATTGATAGACGCCAAGCTATTTGCCACAATAAGCGTGAATATCGCGTGTTTAGAAACCATTTGTATCGTAGAGGTTGCTAAAGATGTCCCGTGTGTTGATTGCTAACGGCCTTTGGCAGCGAAGCGTGAACACCGTTAATCATTTGCTCACCTAGCCAGTACCGCAGGCGTAGGAAGAGCTGCAAATTGCCAAGCGAACCCGAACTGCAAGCTAAGACCGAAGTAGGTATCAGCTGAACTTGGCTTCCAGGCTAAACACAAATCGTCATCATCATCATCATCATCATCATCATCATCATCATCATCATCGTCGTCGTCGTCGTCGTCATGAGAATGCCTGAACGTTGAGGTTGATCTGCACAATAAGGTCGAATATGTTGGGATTGAAGGCATGAGCTCAAGTCCCCAGACTCAAACTTCCCACTCACTATGGGACACAGTTACCGTGGGTAGCGATTGTCACGCGGCCACCGCAGCTCAGACGCTGGTCATTCTGGCTAAGTGGCCGTCAAATAGTCGTGCTCGTGTGATGTGGAGAGGTTCGGTTTCGGTTCCCATCCCAGGAGCTTTCTCTGCGGACCCAGATCCACCCGGGCGTGGCGAGTCGCCGACCGGCCAAGCTGCTCGCTCCTGACGCGATAAGTATCTCACATTTTTAGAAGGAGCATCGCGGCAGAAGACGGACACTGGACAGCTTTCCCTTCTCACCCCGCGCCAGACTTGGGTCGACAAGGGAGATACGTGGTGTCGGTATCTTGGAAATATTTGAGGGACGTGAAGATGTTCGCCTAGAACAGGAACCGTTTGACGATAGAAAGCTACCTCCACTGTTGTGATATTCCAGAGATAAGAGGGTGGGCCGTGGGGTAACATTGTGGTTTTACCGTTTGTCTGGAGCAGTTAACTAAATTAACTATTACACACCATAAAACGTAACAGTTTTATTGCCAGCCTCGCCATCCTAAATTAAGCTAATCAAGAGGAACTCTATGAAACACCCGCAGCGATTTGTGCATTGTTTATTAACGCTTAGGCCTACAATTTTGGGCTCACTTATGTTGCATGCTACACATGACACTAATTTCATGTAGTTAGAATGACTTGAGCATTTTGCCAGTCTTGTTTCGCAAGAGATGATTGTTTCAACTGTCCAACATGCTACAATTACGCCTTGGATCTGGCACCATATTGTTCTCCACTGACACAGTTCCTCGAATAAAGCTCACGTGCTCATTTAGGCGAATTAATCATTCAAAAATAAAAAGCTCCCAAAATGCTGTAATGCGGCGAAATGCTTGAACACTTGCAATTGTATGTCTGTTGTAAGTGCCGCCTCGTCCCCAAAATCACAGCCAGAAATGGCAGCTACCGTGAGAAACGCTCCGTGACGGCCAAACTCTAGAACAATTGCACCCCCTGCCGGGCTACAATAGTCGTGCGCACCACCGTCAATGTGGGGGCGGCAGTGGGGCCTCGTCGCCGTCTATGTCACTGTCTGTCCTCTGACTGATGCCCTCTGTGCCGACAGGACTGGTCACGGCCTACACGGACCGTCACGGCTCTGCGCGGCGCGGCACAACGCCCTCAGTCTCACACATCAACACCGGCCCCGGGCTGCAGCTTGAGCCGACCGTGCCGGGCCAACAGTGAAAGGTGCCGCTTCCGACGCCGGAAATCGGGGCGACGACAAGTGGTGCTTCCTGAGCTGCCGACCGCCGAAAACAGCGCGCCCTGGCCACTTCCGGCGGTTTACCGGCCACGTCCGGCGCGGCCGATTGCTGAGGTGTGAGTCGTGCTAGGTTTCTGTGCCGCGGTGCCGTCAGCGATCGTTCACCACCTTCGAAATGCTGAAGTGGCTCACACAGTACGCCAATGGCAAGGTCGGATACAAAGCACGGAAGCAGAAGTATGATGTGCACGGCAGACCAGACCCGTCCCCGGAAAAGGCGCTCTGGATCGGTGGCGTCGATGCGGATCATCTGGAAGAAAAGGCTCATAGCGGTTCGCGAAAACATGTTGTCAAATTTGATGCCAGAATAGATGAAGTGTCATCACGACCACGTCACGTCAATTCGCGGCGTCATCCACCGGACAAGCCATCTGTCGTCAGCCAGCCCCGCAGCGTCTCGGACGATCGGTATTTCCACGGTCAGGCCAGCCCACCGCGCCGTCCCGAGCTCAGCGATCGGCAGCGACCACCGCACACTGCGACCTCTCCTCTCAGAGACTATGCCACCGTGCCCGGTCATGACCGTCGCAGCCGCGGTGGCCAAACCACCCACCGAGGTACTGTGTCTGGTGTTCGGAACACACCCGGCGCCGCAGAGGCGTCCTCAGTCACCCCAGCAGTGGCCGGCACCCCTGATCACTCCCGGCTCTGGCCCGGTCAGCGCCGGCATCTGGTCGTCGAATACACCTCTGATGAATCTCCTGACCGTCAGAGTGCCGACCCGCGGCCACGGCGGCTCTCGCCTTCGGCAGAGTCGAGGGTTATGGCCTCTGCGGGAGGCATCGCTGACGATGAGTTCTTCATCATCTGTCCACCGAGTGTGGGGACAACTGAGCGACGGAAACGTGAAGAGGAGCGGAAAAGAGTTGACGCCCATGACAGAGACGAGAAACCAGACAGGGAAGAGGTGGCGGAAGGGGAGGCAATACCAGACAAGGATATTTCACCCGATCGAAACCGAGCCTGGAGCAGCACTCTACTGGAGAGGCTCAGGAGGCGACACGGGGCCCGCCCTGGTCGAACGCGTGACCTGCCAGAGCTGCCTGCGGCGGAGACAGCACCTGCAGGCCACACCGAGACACCAAGAGCCCCAACTGACACCACAGATATTCTTAGATCGCGCCTGGAGCAGCATCTCGCACGATCGAGAGCGAGCCCGCCTCCGGCGCCTCCCAGACATGACCGTGGAGATAACGCATTCAAGAAGAAAACCGACAGCTTTGACGATGACAACAGACCGTCAACTCCAAACAATGACTGCGAACCAAAGAGTATCATCCTGGAGGACAGCGGAGTGACACGAATCAGTGTCACTCCTGCCGGCCGAAGTCGGAGTGAAGAAGGCGGCACGGCGGCCCCGGAGCGACCCGTTCGCTACCTGAGCGCTTCCCTCCCCCGGCCTCGACCGACGGCGGCCTCTCGTCCTAGCACCGACCACCGCTGGGTTCTGACACTGCCGGTTCGGTCACGAGCCTCCCCGCCACCGGAGGAGTCACGTAGCGCCAGCGAGGGCCGGAAAAGTGAGAGTGCATGTCGTGACGAGCCAGCCGAGGGGTACAACGGGGACACGGCTGATTACGTGAACGACGCGGGTGGAGTGACTCACGCTAGTGATAAGATTCATGTTCGCTTTGTGAACCGAGTGACCCGAGAAGCGATGAGGTCCAGAAGCTGGAGCGTCGGCCGACCGGGACAACAGGCGACGACTGACCCCGGGTCAGCCCGCGAAACCGAGGTCAGGTCAGGTCGGGAGCCGGGCTCGAGGGTCAGAATGGGTCTGCCGGTCGGTGTCGGGCCACCATCGACCAAAATCGGAAGTCACGTGATCACAAACGGCTCGCTACCCCGAATGACAAGACAAAGCCGGACCGGCGAGACTGCTCGTGAGCCGGTGCGGACAATGGCTGCGGCCCGATCAGGCGCGCTACCGGCCGCCGCCGCCGCTCACGAGCCGGGCAGTGGGGGCGAGACAGCCCGCGCGCCGCGGCAAGGCAGTGCGCCGCAGCGCAGCTCCAGCTTCCGCCTTACCGCTCCCGACGAACCGACCGCCAAACGGGTGACGGTGGTACCGCGCCGGTCCCTCAGCGAGCCCCGCGGCCCGCTCGGACCCGAGACCAGTGTCGATGACGACGAGGACGCTCCGTCGTCGGCAAGCTACGCGCACATCGCGACCCTGCCGCGCACCGGGCGCCGTCGCCCGCGGCAGACGGTCGCCGCCACCCAGACCTCGCCCCGAGGCTCACCGGAGCCGCGAGACTCTAAACACGCTCCCGGCGAGACTCAGTCCCGTGATGCAAAGGACTCTCGTAATGTAAAAGAGTCACATGAGTCTCGGGAGTCACGCTGCTCGCGTGAGCCCCGCTCGATGAGTGAGAGACGTCCTGCCGGTGACTCAGTGGAGTCAATTGACTCGTGTGGGATGTCGGGAGGGCTGAATCGACCACGGTCAGCCTCCGCGGACTCCGCACAGCTCGGAAGGATCTGCCAGCAGGCGCTCTCCAGTCTGCAGCACGTAACCCTGTGGTCAGACGGCCTCACCGCCGCTTCGCCAGCCCCGCTCACAAACCAGGTCAGTCCTCTCTCAGTGAGAGAATACAGTACTGATTAATGTCTGAACCTAACTAATGCATGTATCGTACAATACGCGTTATCTATGCCTGACCTATAACCAAGTGTGATGGGACCATGGTGGTAATGTGTACGATGAGTCGGCGATTCTAGTCTTCACGACTGGCTTCTATCACCACAAGCCCCACCCATAGCTACGCCCATTTGTTCACCATAGAACTCTCCGTTTCTGCGGCTGGACGACTCTCGCCATTGTTTTGTTTTCAGTCCGCGCCGAGAGTCGTGTGTGTAGTTTTCAGTGACCGTATTGTACCGACCCAAAAGTCGGCCTTTGAGTGTTGTATGCTCTCAGCAATCTGTCACTATTTCCAGCCCAGCCTGACGTCGCCTCAGTTCGCAATTTCACCCCTGTTTCACTCTCCATCCCCGCTGGCGCTGGCAGCATCGCATCGCTAATCCACCGGCAAATTTCGCGGCCTCGGAAACCACGCTTCCGCGGCGCACGGGTCACCACCCTTCCGATGATGGTTTTGTGCGGTGAACTGGAATGACCACAAGCAGCCGTGACATTCGCCGCTTGGTGGAACAAAAGTCATCACCCTTATCAGCGAGCTCAGTTTATGATCCTTGCTATATCCACGATGCGAGGTGGAATCCACATTCATCGCTCTGGTGGATGCTCAGTGGCGTGAGTCTGATGATTGATAGTTCTTAGCCCCGCTTGTTGACCTCACTCCGAGCCAAGTTCGAGTCCAACACATCTGTGACAGCCACAGCCCACGCCCTAATAGCCACCCAGGCCTACGATCGCACGCTATTAATCGTTACATCCGGTTGGTCGCTGCTCCCGGTCCGCCACCTTCCGATGCACCTCAACGCCCCGAGTTCACACCCAACTCTGACACAGCTGCTCGGCTAACTCCAAACTCACCTCGGTGCAGAACCAGCACGGAACGTCGTGTTTCACACAGTAATTAGCTGGCTCATCACTGACCGCACGCCGGTGAGAGGGGAGAGGGGAGAACGGGGAGGAGGAGAGCGGGGAGAGTGGCCATCACGCCCGGCGCAGACCCACGCCGCTCGTGCTACATGGGCGGTGTATAATGACGGTGTGTAGCGCGGTCATTTGGTCATCACTTGGGACAGCAATGAGCCGTCAGCTCCGGCCTGACACTAAACACAGAGGTGATCCTCGGGAGAGCTAAAAGCGGAGGCATGGGGGGAGAGGCGAAAGGTGACAGCAGGAAAGGCTTAGAGAAAGGCCTAAACATGAGACCGACGATTATGTAGTTGGGAAACCTAAACATGCTATGGTAAATGCTGAGAATAAAGGCATATACATATAACTTACAAGAGCTACTTGAACTGCATTTGAGCTTGCGAGCAATTACATATATGGTCGCAGAACTAGCCTGTATGAGTAAGCGCCTAAAAGGGCCCTGCAAATGGCAAATGCATGGGCAATCGGCACACATCGACAACTAGACCTCCAGAGGTCCTGCGCTCATTTCACATTTTCAGTCTCTTCGCAGCATTTAGAGCCGTGACGGGCTCGGATTTCGGAAGCCCTTCCTCTAAATCACTGTGACATAGAGTTAACCCTCGCATGTGTGCGGCGTTTGCCAGCTTCTAATGTGTAGGGGGGGGGGGGTCGGTTGGACCCCCCCTTGCCGTTTGGCCCCTGATCGAGCTAGAGCTTCGCGGAAAAAACGAGCGTGTTGCCCGTGACGAGAGGAAGCCGATGATACCCAATTTTAAGGTCCTAGGTCATTGGTTGACCTTCCAGGTCAGGTCAATGACCCAAAGTCGGGAAAATCGGGACCTGTTAGAAAGTCGTAAAGTGTGGCTGCTAAGGGGTTTTTCGGGGTGCTGATCACGAATATCGTGTTAGTTTTGATCACAGATGATGTCTTGAAGCATTTAGACCAGGTCGGGTCAGGTCAGGTCAGGTCAACCAGTAGGCGTCGTGACGGGTATTCGTAGTACGTGTCAACCGCCTCTGACAGCTTCGTAACATGTTACGAAGTCACCAAAACTACTTCGTAAATGTTCAAATGGTTGCTAAATTCGAATTCAGCTCCAAAAACTAGCCTAGAAACATGTAAAACTCGAAAAAGTGACCCGAGGTCACCCGAGGTCACCAAAGGTCAATGACCTGACCTGACCTTCAGGTGACCTTGACACACACGGGAGTAACATCAAATCACATGTTTGAACGTTTGAAACCACGAAAAGCTTGCAAACACGCGGCTAGTGCGAGCCGACATACGCGAAATCGCGATTCCGACCAAACATGGTCTCGGAAAAGAGGTCACAGGTCAAAGGTCATTTGGGTCAGGGTCATGAAATTTTCAGGGTAGGTGTAAAATTGATCAATGCGAGGGTACTGAAAGTTTCGTCGCGATCGGCCGCTTTTTACGCGAGTTATTCGCGAAAAACCATGGGGGGGGGGGTCCATCCGACCCCCCCCTACACATGCGAGGGTTAAAGCACGCCTATAAGCGGACACTCGAAGGTGAATTCAGGCCTTCCTTTTATGTCCGGTTGGGGGACACGGCTGACCAAAAAGGGAACAACCCTGGACCTTACCATGGTCCAGGGTTCAGCCCCTGACGCAACAGATGGGATCTGCGGGTCCTTATCGAGGCTAGTAAATGGCGGCGATGCGTTTTGAATACAATCTGAGAAGAGTCCAATGGCTGTCTAACGCATGGTGGGAGAGGGCGTAAAGTGACACGAGAATGATGTATGCCGCACATAAAACGAAACGTTATATGCGTGCTTTTAAGGCCGGTTGACATCTGTCGCCAATCGATATGGCTCTGAAACTGCTTCATTAGGCCAAGGACGTTGTGAATTTGGAGCGTCAAACGTGACAAGACGAATTTAGATGCGTGAAATTCGTAGGAAAAAGCTGCCTCAACTACACTTGTGGTTTTGTAGCGTGGTAAGGCAGCCCATAACTGATATGTGAGCCTCGGTCCATGTCAATTTTAACGTGTTATCATCAAATAAATCTGATTCATGACATTCGGGGAAAATGGTTCAGTTCCATGCATGCTTAAAAAGCTCAGACAACTGAATAGGTGCAGCATGAGGCCACCACTTTTAGTTTTGTGTCCTCAAATTCAATTGAAGTAATATCAATGATAACAATGAAACAATGACTTGATATAAGTAATTACGGCCAAATAGAGTAGCCGGGACAGTAACCACCACATGCGCTGCAAATAGGCACACCTATAGATTGCTGCACGATTATTAGAGGAAAACGCCACTCCTTGGAACTGAGTATCAGAATCTGTTCAGCGAAATAATGCATCCTTCTTCCTAATTCCGTACACAAATTTTTACTGCACGCTTCATCAACATCCCTTGTTTGGGCTGGTCCAATACTACTGTCACACCGGTGCATATTACTTTCCCTACCCCACAAATCACCAAACTGTGCAGCCCGGTTCCCGTACACTGCTAAGCTGGCGTCCCTACCCATAACTTTCCCAATCGGGACGCTAGCTGACCCTGGGAACCTCACGGACCGACGGCTGACCAACGGATGGACGGCTGGATGACCACGTGCCGGCCACGTGCCGGTCAGCTCCCTTCCCTCCCCTCCTCTTCCTTCTCCGTCAGCCGGATGGGGCGGTGTCGAATGTGTCGGAGCTCAGAGGTGTTGGCGGTAAGATCAGACGAGTCGTGATCGATGGATATCATCTCAGACAGCGGAACAGGCCGCCAGCACCCCTTCAGCTCACCACTGATCGCACCCCTGTGTTCCGGCGTGCTGATCCTGAGCGGATTTGAACTGATGCGGTCGGCATTCTTATTTCCGTACCGGTGACCGGCCGCCCACGTGCAGTGGTCCGAAGGAGAAGGTGGCGCTGGCCGAATCGTCAATTGATTTTTGATGAACCAAGGTTTGGAGTAGGAGTTGGGCTGTACCGAAATATGCCACTACCTTGACTCTTTGTGACCTTGAGTTATGTTTGATCGCGTGACCAACGTGAGTTTAACGTGATCATATCTAACGATCCAGCCTTTTGTCACGAGGTATCGTACTTAGGTTCGTCCTCGTATTGAAGACGGTTATGTTAGCTCCTCATATAAGTGTCATTAAAAGATACCCGCCTTGATTTATTGCACGCTGAAGACAGCACCGCTATACGAGCAGGCTCACCTCCAGTCAATGCACCCTTCAGAGCAGCAATCAAACGCCGCATACCGATTTAACCGTCTACTATAAATACCGTTGGATCCGTAATCATAACACAATCATAATTAACTTGGGTCAGCGCGGCAGTGGGGCGAACGGTACAGAAACGTTACCGTGCCACAGGAGCTGGCCAAGTGGTCCGGTGGGAAACACGCGAACGGAGACGGTCGATGACAGCTGTCCCCGCCGCCAGAGACACGAGGAGACGAACCAGAGACGCGTGGAGACGAGCGTGGGAGCCAGGAGACGGGTATTGTGTCAGGAGACAGTTGCGTTCCCACTCGGAGACAGGACAGAGATGGATGATGTTAGTAAGTAGGAAACAAATGGTAAAACGAGGCCTGGTGAACAGGGCGAGAACCTTTGACTTATTCTCGGGAAATACTGAGAAATGAAGACGGTGCATGACCTCTTTGAAGTCAGATATCCGATATGCAAGTAATGGTGACTTTCAGTACGGTTTGTCAATGACTGCCCGAGTCCACTTATTGAAGCTGAGCAAAGAACGGAGATGCACAATATGTATGCCAGCGTTTAGCATTTGCTGCAGTCGTGTTTAAAGATAAAGGTTTTCAGGCAATTGTCGATCTTACAACTTCCACATCAATTCGATGAAGCCACTTATTTTCTTACATTTCCCAATCAGTCACCACGGGACCGTCCGGTCGACTCGCACTGCCTCGTTGGACCGGACAGCTCAGATCGGGCCGTCGCCGGCGAGCCAGCGTGGTTTCTCGCCCACCGTCGCCTCGTGTGCCGTAGAAACGGTGCTTCCCGCGGCGCCGATC